GGTGGTGAGATTACCTTGACAGATTAAATGTCCCTCCTGAATAGGTGACTATACTGCCTCCACAACCTACAGAGCATGAGCATTGCTAACTCAGCTCACAGAGATTGAGCTCTATCTCATTTGTGATAGGGCCCTGAATTGTTGGTAGCAGAAAGTCTTGTGTTCTATGAACTGTGAAATGCCTGAGGTCCTGGTAGCATTACACAGGGAGGAATTTTAAATAAACCACCCATAGGGGTTTTTTATTCAGCTCTTCTATTATTGTAAATTCAAAATGGAGAACATTCCAGGACAGACATTTATGACTACCATTTATCTCTATAGAACATCAATCTAATGCTGATGGAGAGCTAGAAGCACATGCCTGAATTAAATTTATCTCCCTAAGGCTATGTCTAGACTAGAGTTTTGTCAGAAAAATTGCCATTTTTTCAAGAAAACTTGAGTTACATCCACACTGCAAGCATGTTCTTTCGACAGTAAATCAAAAGAACAGAGGGCTTTTTGTGGTATTGGTATTCCTCATTTTACAAGGAAGAAGCCTGTTTGCGAAAGAGTTCTTTTGCAAAAAGGCGTGTGTGGATGGGGAGGAGGGCTTTTTGTGGAAGTAGAGGCCTCCAGGAAAAAGCATAGGTGCCCTGGTGGCCATTCTATACAAGCTAATCACAACTCTCTAGTTCCTATCTCCTGGCCCCTCTTAAAACTGCAGACACCCTGGAAAAGCCTTGTGTCCCCTACTACAGCCATGTCCGCCCTTGAAGCTCCCCATGATTCCCCTGGCCCTCTTCAGGAGCAGCTCCAGGGGTGTGCGGACCCAGCCAGGGAGACCAAGAGGCGCATCCCATCCTGATCTGGCCCACAGATAGTCTGTCCTCGAACTGTGGGGTGAGGAGGAGAAGCTCTAGGATCCCCAAGCCAAGCGGCACAATGCTGACATTTATGGCCGGATGGGCACATTCCTGGCAGAGCCCGGCCCCTTCCCTGGATCATGGAACAGGTCCAGAGCAAAGTCAAAGAGCTCCACCAGGGATATGTTTGGGCCACCGAATGCAGCTCACGCTCAGGAGCAGGACCCCACACCTGCCCAGACTACAGAAAGCTCCAGCTAATCCTGGGATGTGGGGGGACATCTTCACCATCCATCCTGGTGGACTCTGGAGTCAAGGCCCCTATAATTGTCCAGCTGGAGGTCACCCCCGAGGAGGAGCAGGAGGGCCAGTTGGCCACACCGGAGGAAGAGGAGTCTTGCTTAGGGGCAGGACCTCACACCTACCCCTACTACAGGGAGCTGCACCAGATCCTGTGGGGTGGGGAAACGTCTTCCCTACCTGTTCTGGTGGACTCTGGGGTCAAGACCCCCATCATCACTGGGCTGGAGGTCACCCTGGAGGAGAAGCAAGAGGGCCAGTGCCAGCTGGATGTGCCAGAGGAGGAAGAGGAGATGGGTACTGTGACCCTCTCCCTCGAGCCGGTTCCTGTGTGCCAAGATGTCTCCCAGGCCTCCTCGGACACCTGGGAGGGATCTTCCAGTGAGTGGTCTCACTTTGTCACACACACAGGGAGACGGGCACACAGGGATAGGCAGGGGGCGAATGTCGCTTGGGTTGCTTGGGCTGCACATCGTGCTGTGGTCTGTGCACATGCATCCATGTTCAGCATTACTGTGTGGCACATGGATGCAGCAGGCAGCCTCTGAGGACACCTGGAATCTTGCTGGCAGGCTCAGGAGAGGCCCCACATGTCCTGACCCTGGGAGTGGGGAGGCCAGCATGGCTGGAAGCCAGTTAGCCACAAGGGCCCAGCCACGACCCCACACAGACCGTGGAGTGTTGCACGAGGCAGCACCTACTCCCGTGGACAATGCTGCGAGCCACAGTTGTGTGTGTGGCCCCCAGGGAGGGCCTGGCTGCTCCCAGCTTCTCTGCCGCCCATGTGTCCGGACACTTCTCTTGGCTGCAGCACAGTCCCCATGGCACCTCAGGGCCCTGTGAGGATAGGCCCACTGTGCAGACTGCACATGGCCTTGCTCACAGGACATCCCCCTCCTCTGGGCCATGGACTGTTGGTTCCTGCTCAACACAGCTCCAGGAATAGTGTCTGCAGGGATGACTGACCTTCTCTCCCTCTGTATGTTCTCCACAGCTAGACCAGCTGGGACTGAGGGCCGAGCCACACCACCGCAACCACCCACCAGATCCCAGAGGACCCAAAGGCACTCCAGGGTGCATGAGGACCTGATGCAACAGCACATCATTGTCCTCATGACATCCACCAGACCCTGGCACACAAGGTGCACAGTGACTTAAGAGTGGTGGGAGTGTGCCTGGGACCAACTGACGCAGGGTTGTGACATCATGTGTGCCATCATGTCCCACCTGATGGAACACCCGCCTGATGCTGCTGATCCTGGCTTCCACCCTTCTGCCCCCCCCCCCCGCTATGCCAATTCTCCCTACCTCATCATGCCTCTGCTCCCTTGCCTAGCAATGCCTCTGCCCCTCCCCGAGTGATGCCTATGCCTCCGCCACCTGCCTCCCTACCAACCCTGACCCCACTGCAGCCTTCCCCTCCCCCTCCTTCACCTCTTTGTAGTCCCCCAACTCACACAAGCCCGATGAGGTCCCCACACCTAAAGTGGCACATCAAGCCACCATCCCCCCAATTCTGATGCCCCCTCTCAGTTCAGAGCCCCCCGTTCCTGCCCACCTTTTCACAATGTTTCAGTAATACAGACTGCATTTTTTTCAAAACCAAGCAGGTGTGTTTATTGGGAGGTCAGGGAAGGGGCAAAGGGAGGGGTTGTTGTGGGGAAGGGATGGAGCTGCAAGGCAGAGGCCCCTATTGGGGAGTCCCTGGGGAGATTTAGTGAGGTGCCTGAGAGAATCTGTCCCTCAGGGCCTTCCAGATACGCCCTCCCAACTGATGGGCCTGGCAGATGGCCACTGTCTGGGGCTGCTCAAACGCACCTCTCCACACCAGAAGGAAGGCCTCACCCTTCCACTACACAATATTGGGGGAGGACGCAACATGTTGCCACCACCTCAGGGATGTTGTGCTCCCTTACATCCAGGCAAGTGAGGAGGCACTGGAAACATGCCTTTAGGCAGCCAAAGGTGCATTTCATCTGGATCCTGGCTCAGTTCAGGTGAGCATTAATCAGGTCCCTGCAGGGATCGAAGTGTCCGGGGTATGGCTTCATGAGCCATGGCACGAGGAGTTATGCCGTGTCCTCCACTATGCACAGAGGCATGTGCACATCCCTGACCGCAAAGTCCCAGCCAGGGAAAACATGCCCACCTCCAGCTTGCAGTACAGGCTTGAGTTTCAGAATACTTGGGCATTGTGTGCCCTGCCTGACTACCCTACAAAAATGTCCATAAATTGTCCCTGGTGATCCACCAGGGCCTGCAGAACAATGGAAAAGTAGCTCTTTCAGTTAACATATTGATCTGCTCGATGGTCCAGTACTCGGATGGGGATGTGTGTCCCATTAATGGCTCCCCCGCAGTTGGGGAACCCCAGGGTGGCAAATCTGGCCACGGTCGCGTCCAGGTCTCCGAGACGGACGACACTCTGCAGCAGGAGGGAGTTGATGGCCCTCACCACCTGCACAAGGAGACAAAGAAACACACAAAACAGAGAAGGAGGGGGGAGTGTCTGATCCCTTGGGAGATAGCCACTCTGCTCCCTTCCGCTGCCCCCCCAAAACACCCCAGGCGCCACCCTCTTTGAGGTGCTCCCCCAGCAGCAAGGTGGGATGTGTGAGGGTGGAATGGCACAAGCCCTCCAGGATGGGGCTTCCCTCTC